CAAGCACTGCCACCAACTGAGGACCAATTATTGAGATTTGAGCCTATGGGGAACATTGCTCATTCATACCACCACATAGGCTGTTGACAAGGCAGATCACCATGGTAGGAGCATGTGGTAGAACAAAGCTGCTCACTTAGAGGTGGCTGGGAAGCAAAAAGGGAGAGAGGCCTTGAGAAGCTGGGGACAAAATTTATCCCTCAAGGTCATGTCTCCAGTACCTACTTCTTTCAACTCTCTTTATCTCCTGAAGTTTCTACCACCTCAGAATAGCCCATTAAGCAATGAATCCATCAATGAATTCATCTGTTTGTTAGATTTCAGCTTTCTTGATCACTCACCTCCCTAAGGACTCACCTCTGAATACAACCCCATTGGATGCCAGGCCTTGGATATATGAATGTGTGGGGAACGTTTAAACTCTATAATATACCAAATTTAATTATGGATAAATGTGGAATCCTCCATTTTGTCAGATATATTTGCCTGCTTAGGTGCTATACTGGACACTTTTAAAACAGGCTTACAGATAAGTTGAGCAGCTAAGGAAGAAATGGGGTGAACTTCAGATGTTGAATGTGGAAAAGTAGGTAAACTTTTTTACTTCTGTTCAAAGGATGGGTTAAGAGGAAATAGGTGGAATTCACAGGTGAAGTATTTTGGCTTAAAAAAGGAAAACTTTCCTGAAAAGTACAATATTACTCTTTACTAACCAGAGAGGATTACATGGAAATAACCATGGAAGTGTGTGTTTAAACCCTGTCTGTGTGTTTGTTAGAAATCAGGAAAATGGCTGGGTATGGCAGCACACACCTTTAATCCCAGCACTAGGGAGGCAGAGGCAGGTAGGTTTCTGTAAGTTCAAGGCCAGCCTGGTCTACATAGTTCCAGGGCAGCTAGAGCTACAGGGAGACCCTGTCTCAAAAAGACCAAAAAAAAGAAATTGGGAAAACGTGTGTGTGTGTGTGTGTGTGTGTGTGTGTGTGTGTGTGTGTTTTGTGTATTATATTAAAAGGTTGGGCTAGTTAGCTAAGGATTGTATAGTGCTTTGTATGTAGTAAAGTGCTCAATACTGGTAATCATTATTGTTTAAAAATACATGAAGTCTGAGACGAGTGACAGTGACCAGAAATGCTGATAAACAATGGACAGAAGTAAGCAGAACAGGGCAGAAAGGAGAAACAAAGGCAAGGGAGCCAGAAGCCAAGGTTACCAGATGTAGTCAGTGTGCTATGAAACATTAGATGAAGACTAAATGAAAGAGAGGTGTGGTATGTAGGAGAAAGAGATTGGAGGATAACATGAAAGTTACCTTATTCCTCTAGGTAGAGACAGAAGATGTTAATGTCCTATACTGCTTTGTCTAAAACTTTTTAATGTGAAATTTCAAAGTTATGCTACATTGTATTAGTTACTTTTCATATCATTGTAACTAAGTACCTGACAGAAACAACTTGAAGGAGAAATTACTGTTTTGGCTCCTGGCTTCTGGGGGTTCTGTGCATGGCTGTAGGCCTGTTATGAGGCAGAAGATCATGATAGCAAGTGTGTGTGGAGGACAAGAAATAGAAAAAGGCATAAAGGGGGCTGGAGAGATGGCTCAGCGGTTAAGAGCACTGACTGCTCTTGCAGAGGACCCAGGTTTGATTCTCAGCACCCACATGGTGGCTATGAACCACCCTTAACTCCAGTTCCAGGGGAATCCAAAGCCGTCTTCTGACCTCTGTGGCATTGCAAGACACGGGTACACTCACATACATGCTGGCAATACACTCATACACATAAAATAAAAATAATAAATAAAATATTTAGAAAGAAAAAAGAAATGAAGGGCATAAGGAAGAAGCTAGAGCAAGATGTGGCCCCAGACACACTCCCAGTGACCTCCTTCCTCCTCTTACCACCTCCCCGTAATGTATGGAGTCACTAAGAGATTGATCCATTCCTTATGTCTGAGCTTTCAGGATTTAATTATCTCTGAGGATACCCTTATAGACACACCAAGAAGTAAGCCTAGATATTGCTTTTCCAATTTTCCAATTTGCATGTGTGTGTGTGTGTGTGTGTGTGTGTGTGTGAGTGTGCGCGCGCGCGCGCGCGTGTGTGTATGTGGTGTGTGTGTACTCCCGTTAGGATGTGCACACCTATGCATGTGAAGAAGCTAGGCAAGGGTGTTGGATGGCTCCTCTGGCACTCTCTGTCGTATTCCTTTGAGGCAAGATCTCTTGGATTTAGAGCTTGCAATTTTTGGCTACTCTGGCAGCCAGCAAGCCTCAGTAATTCTCATGTCTCTATCCCCATTGTCCTGGGGTTATACACCACACCTGGCTTGTAGATGCTGGGATTTGAACTCAGGTCCTAATGGTTGTACAGCAAACACTCTTAACCACTGAGCCATTTCCCAGCTCCCCTATGCATTTAAAAATCTAATCAAATTGACAAAATCAGCTAGCATATATATATGTACAGATAACTATTATATCATGCTATTATGTCATCTGCTTTTATCATTTATAAGCATGAATATCTATTAATAAATGTAGATATACATTTCATTTTTTTTTATAGCTACATAGAATTTCATTGCATGGTTGAGCATACTGATAGGTATTTAGCATATCTATTTATTAAAAATTTAAATTTATGTGTATATCTCTGTGTGAGTATATGCCATGTGAATGTGGGTACTATAGGTTATTAGAGAAAACGAGCTTGAAATGAATGGTATGGGCACTGTCAGAGACTACCTACCTGCTTTAAAGGATGGGTTACCTTTTACATTTATAATCAGGTATCAGGTAGATACCTGTAAGAGCTATGCATTGTGTGATTTTTCACAGAGTTTCAGTTGAATATAACTAGAAAGCAAAGCAAATTTTCCCATCCCAATGATGATCTGATCTTCATTAGATGATTAGATTTTATTTTACTTTTTTTTTTTTTTTTTTTAATAGGTTCTTGTTTTCTTGTTTTTTTTAATAGGTTCTTGTTCTGTATCCTAAGCTAGCCTGGATTTTACCACACAACCCAGGTGCCATGGCCTTAATTTGTAGCTCTTCTGCCTCAGTCTGCAGAATTCTGGCATTATTGGTATGAACCACCATTGCCTGGCTTCTTTTTTTATATAAAGTTGGATTTATTTGGTTAGATCAAATTTGAAGTCTTTTCTCTTATGAATCATTAAAGCAAACACAATTTCATTGAGTCCCCCTTGAGGTATGTTGTTTGAGTTTCTGTCATTTAAGCCTTGTCTAGAATGTGTATAAACCAGAAGTTTTGAGTTGGATGAGGTGCCACGCTCCTGTATTTCTAGTACCCATGAGGGTGGAGCAGGAAGTTTGTGAGTTACAGGCTTGCTTTAGCTGCATTGCCAGACCTTGTCTCACAAACAGAACAAACAGGGTTGGTGAGATAGCTTAGCAGTTAAAGGGCCTGCTGCCAAACATGGTGACCTGAATTGGATCCTCAGGAACCCATATGTGGAAGGAGAGAACCAACTGACCTCCACATGCACACAGTAGAACACTCATTCCCCCATAAGTAAGTTTAAAAAAAAAAAAAAAGTAAAAACAAACAAAACACAAAGAAACAACAGCTGGGCGTGGTGGCGCCTGCCCGCCTTTAATCCCAGCACTTGGGAGGCAGAGGCAGGCAGATCTCTGTGAGTTCAAGGCCAGCCTGGTCTACCTAATGAGTTCCAGGACAGCTGGGGCTACAGGGAGACCCTGTCTCAAAAAGACAAAAAACAAACAAACAAACAAACAAACAAAAAACCTAGACATCGCAAAACGTTTTATTTTTGTTTTTCTATTTTGAGACAGGCTCTCCCTATGTAGCCTGAGCTGGCCTGGAACTTGCTATGTAGACCAGACTGGCTTTAATCTCATAAAGATCTGTCTGCCTCTGCTTCCCCAGTTGTAGGATTAATGGCGTGGGCTACCATAACTGGCTGTCTGAGCATTCTGGCTGGAGGTATCTTCTTCATCTCAGGACTCTGTGCAAATGTTGCTTATCAAAGAGACTTTCCATAGGCTGGTGTAGTGGTACACACATGCCTCTAATCTCAGCACATGGGTGAGGCAGGGAAGTTTGAGAGTTGGAGGCCAGCCTGGGCTATGAAGGAAGTTCAAGGCCAGCCTGAGCTGTGTATACTGTTTCGAAAAAAATCAAAGGATGTGTAGCTGAGTGGTGGAGTAATAATTAACTAGCACTCATAAGACTCTGAGTGTGACTTCCCCAAGAAGAGGCTTTCCTGATGGCTATTATTTAAAAGCATCTTTCACTTAAAATTTTTTTTGGACATTTTCCTTTTCTTTTTTTGCCCCTTTGTGGTGCTGAGAACCTAGGATCTCATATATGTGGTAGGTAAGTATTCTTTCACTACACTCTAGCCCCTAGTCACTCCCCTTTTTTTGATGGGGGGGTGAGGGCAATTGAACCTAGGACCTCAGGCATTCTTTCTAATCAGTCTTTAGTTCTCTTGTTTTACCTTTTCTTCATAGTACAGACAGCTTGAAAAAAAAATAATTTGTATCTGTTTCTCGTCAAGTACAAGTTTCGTGAAGTCAGGGTTTGGGTCTCTTCCCAGCTTGTTACCTAAGATCAGGAGTATTCACTGCTGTATCCTCAGTGCCTGGTTATATAATGGGCAACCTATAAATTTGTGTAGCCATTGGCCTGGCACTTGTAGACATAGGAGTGACTGTTAAACTCAGGAGATAGGAAGAAAAAAATAATTAGCATTCTAAGCTCTTACATATTTTTTTTATAAAGCTAGTAGAAATATTTTTTTTTATAATTAGGATTGATGCTTTATCAAAAATTATTTGGAGCTGGGTGTGGTGGCACACACCTTTAGTCCCAGCTCTCAGGAGGCAGAGGGGGCAGATCTCTGTCAGATCAAGGCCTAGGTCCCCACAGGGAGTGACTGTGACTATAGGAAGACCCTGTTTCAAAAAAATAAATAAATGAAAACCTTATTTGGTTATATTCTATTTAAGATGAAGATGATGACTTTGTGTATAAAAAAGCAACCTCCAAACCAAAAGAGAATGGAGTATCTACAAATAGTCACCTTGAAGCATCAAGCATGAAAAGGAATGAAGAAAGCACTAGAACTAAGAATAAACCTTTATCACCAATAAAACTTACACCAACATCAGTGCTTGATTATTTTGGAACTGGAAGTGTCCAAAGATCTGGGAAGAAGATGGTGGCAAGTAGAAGAAAAGAGGTGAGCATTCTCCACGCAAGCAAGCTTGTGCGGATTCCTGGCATGGTGGTGCACACCTGAAATGCCAACACTTGGGAGGATGAGGCAGCAAGATCATGAGTTTGAGGTCAGTCCAGGCTAAGTAATGAAACTCTATCAAAACAACAGCAGAAAGTATGTTTGAGGTGGGGGAAGGAGGCTGGAGAGATGACTCGGCAGTTAAGAGCGTTTGCTGCTCTTCCAGAGGACCCAAGTTCAGTCTGCAGTACTCATGTCGGGGCTCAAGACTGCCTGTAACTTCAGCTCCAGGGCATCTGATGCCCTCTTCTTGTCTCCATGGGTACCTGGCATACACTCACATGGACACACATACATCATACATACACATAAGTAAAAATAAAAATAAATCTTGAAAATATTTGGAATTGCCAGGCATGATAGCGCACACCTTTAATCCCAGCACTCAGGAGGCAGAAGCAGGTGGATCTCTGTGGGATTGAGGCCAGCCTGGTCTGCATAGTGAGTTCCAGGCCAGCTGGGGCTATAGGGAGACCCTGTCTAAAAAACAACAACAAAAACAGAAGAAAGTTTGGGACTGATACCTAGTCATTGATATTAATGGGTAGAAATTGTGATATTACAAATGCATAAACAATAATGAAAATTATTTTCCTATGATTATGGATAAAATGTATTGCCCCAGTTTAGAGGATAAGGAAACTAGAATATAAATATGTGTGTGTATGTGTGTGGTGTGTGTGTGTGTGTGTGTGTGTGTGTGTGTGTGTGTATGTGTATGTATCTATATACATTTGAAAGCAAGAAAGCATTATCTAGACCATAAGAAAAAAAAACATAATTCTTAGAATTTAAATTAAATTGAATAATTTATTCCCAAATGAGATCATTAACACATCCTTTTAAATAGAGTGTACCCATGTTGTACTTTTGATCTTCTCTAGTTTGATACTGGAGCCATCTTTTGCTGGCCATTTAGGAAACAGATATACAGATAAGCACAGTAAAAGTTACATATCAGTACAAACTGCCATGTGGTACGTGCTGATGTGAATAATGCCTCCATAGGATGGTGAGTCCTGATTTGCCAGTGCTATAGACTACTTCCCAAGCCAAAAGCCTGCAGTTTTTTGGGGGAGTAGGGTGGGGAGGGAGGAACATGTCAGTAGAACAAAATGAGAACCATTTATCTATAGGATATTTACTCATTAAGAAATTGGTATCGTTAGAATAGCCATAAACTTGACTTTCTGGCTGCTGTGAATTGTGACTATTTCTTATAGACCTAGATAAATGTGTTTAATTTGCTTGTTAAGAAAAAGTGTTTGGCTGGAGAGATGGCTCAGTTGTTAAGAACACTGGATGTTCTTGCAGAAGACCCAGGTTTGAATCCCAGCACCCATATGGCAGCTAACAACAGTTCGTAACTCCAGTTCCAGGAGATCCAGCAGCCTCTTCTGTCCTTTGTGGAGGTCATGGGTGCATTTACCTACATGCAGACAATACATGCATACACATAAAATAAAAATAAAAAATAAAATATTTTTAAAAAGAGAAAGTTTTATTTTTAACTTGATTTATGTTTATCTTGCTCTTCTTTGAAATATAGCCTTCTCAAAAAGCAGAGGATTCCAGATTAAATGATGAAGCCATTGCCAAGCAGTTGCAGCTTGATGAAGATGAAGAGGTATTGCCACCCCACTTAGTTATCATTAATAACTTGGTATTTATTTTAGTCAGACAAACAAGATTGTCTAGTTCAATTTTTTACTTTTGAGATAGGGTCTTGCTATATATATGTATAAGACTGGCTTAGAACTCAGTATAGCCTAGACTGTCCTTAAACTCCTAATTCTTCTACCTCAGCTTCCTGAGTGCTGGAATTCTAGTTTTGCACCACTATGCCTGGCTCAAGGCTGTTCTAGTCTAATTTTGAATTTAGTTTCATTGGAAATTATGCATAAATATGTTAAAATCTAGTACATGGCATTATAAATTCCTGAAAGAAATATATGTTGGGACTAATGGTTATTTACTTAGAGATTTAAAATTTACAGTTCTTTAAATAGGAAGCTCTTTAGTATATTTGAAAGAATTTCATTGTCTCCTATCTCTTTTGCTTTCACAATGGGCCCTCTCAGCCTTTTCTGTCTTTATTATATATATACTGATGACTTCTATATGTGCGTCTAGTTCAGAATTCTCTCTCTTGAGATGTAAACCCATTTCCAACAAGGATTTATTGATCACTTACTGAGTGCCTAGCATTGCTCTTGGCATTAAGAATATTGCAGATTAAACACAGAGGAAGAATACGTAGTCAGGTGCAGTGAGAGGAGTGGAGGTATAGTATAGTTCTGGGCTGTGTGAGAGGAGTGGAGGTATAGTACAGTTCTGGGCTGTGTGAGAGGAGTGGAGGTATAGTACAGTTCTGGGCTGTGTAAGGAAGTGGCATTGTGTCAGCAAAAGAAATGATAACCATGAAGCAGAAATGCTGGCAGCTTAGGGTCCCACTAAGTAGGGGACAGCAAGTGTAAGCATCCTTGGGTAGAAGGGTGCTCTATTATAAGAACAGTGTGGCTGGAGAGGAGTGGGTGAGAAGGAGAAGTGTGTGAGATGATTTGGAGATGGCCAGCAGCAAATCCTGAAGATAGATCTTTGATTTTAATATCTTTGAAAAGGACTTTTGTCAGGACTTCAGATTTTAGTTTTTGTGAGATAGAAAGCTCTTGGAGTTTCTCTCTCTCTCTCTCTCTCTCTCTCTCTCTCTCTCTCTCTCTCTCTCTGTCATCTGGTTCTCCTTGTAGCCCCAGCTGGCCTGTCACTCATAATGTAGACCAGGCTGGCCTTGATCTCACAGAGATCTGCCTGCTTCTGCCTCCTGAGTGCTGGGACTACAAGTGTGCACTACTGCACCTGACTGCTGTGGGAGTTCTTAATAAAGTGACATGATTTGGTGGGTTTTAAAGAAAAGCACTCTGGTTTCTGAAATGCTAACAGGATAATTGATGATATCTTTCCCAATGGTGGGCTATGCACAAAAGCCGACCAGCTTGGAGACGGTTGAGTTGTGGTAGGTGGAGATGTTGGTTTGTATCAGGTTGAAAGTGGAAGAAAGGGTGAGAGGTGGTAAAGCTTAGAGTTGTTGATAGATTGAGAATTAGGTGACCTGAGCAATGGGATGAGTGAATGGTGATACTGTCACTAACACAGAACATGGAAGGTGGAGCAGGTTGGCATAGAGAAAGAAGAGTTCTGTTTTGGGTGCTGGCAGGATGGGTCAGTGGGTAAATTCATGCAGGCCCGACAACCTGAGTTTGATCTCAAGAACCCACGTAAAGGTGGAAGGAGAGAACCAACTCCACAGAGTTGTTCTCTGGCCTCCTCACGTGTGCCCACACACCCATACCTGGACACACACAGAAATAATTTTTTAAAAAGTTTTGTTAAAGCCTGGCATGGTGGTGCACGCCTTTAACCCCAGGACTGGCGAGGCCAGAGGCAGACGGATCTCTGTGAGTTCAAGGCCAGCCTGGTCTACGTAGTGAGTTCCAGGACAGCTAGGGCTACAGGGAGACCCTAGGATTAAAGGCCTGTGCTAACACGCCTGGCCTGTTTAATTGAAATTGCTATTTAAGTGCCTTCTGTGTGTAGCTTTCAAGTTCTACTGCCCTGGGCTGTTTATATCTCACAGTGCTTATTGTGCTTATCTAGTGTCTCTGCACAGAACAGAGAACTAATGTTGTGGTTGTCTTGTTTATTAACACAACAATTATACGTTGTTTTAAAAACAGTCTTCTGTCTTTTTGATGACTTTGAATTACATTATCTCCACATAGGTATCTTGATGACTCAAGGTGGTACCTGTTGCTTAGGTCAACCTGTGAAGTCATTCTTAGTGACCTAACTTTTCCTTATGTGTTCCAAATAGTAGAGAATTACCTAGTTCTTTCCAAAGAATCAAAGGGTACCACAATCCCCTGTTTTCCCATTTCTGTCACATTCTTTCAGGATCTTGTTTGGGTGATTTATTAATCTAATGAAGGACTTTTAGGGTGTTAATAATTGGTGATGTCTTTCCTAATTGTCTAAGAGCCCCCATCCCCAGTTTTAACCTCTTTGTTTATTCATTTGATAATTATGTGACCAGTATCTCATACTCAAGTCAGTCTATCAAATGCCTTATCAAGTCAGCTGCATTAAACATTCAGTTAAAATTCAGGACTCTTGATTACATTCCATAATCACCAATAATAAATGGAGGCATTCTTTCATTCTTATTTCTTTTTTTTTTTCTGATCTTGATATTTTTATTATCTTAAAATTTACTCTTTGAAAATTTCTTACATATGTACAATGTATCTTGATCATATCTATCTCCATCCCCTCTTCCACCCCCTATTTTTTATTTCTTCCAAACCACCTATAATCTCCCTTATCACAAACATACTACATGGTGTGAAATTTTGGAAAAGTGGTGTAGAGTTCAGAAATACTTAGAGACTACCAGTAGTTTAGAGTTTGCAACACTTTCTATGAGTAAGATATTCACATTGATTTTAGCAGTTAGATGTGTAGTTCAGTTATGGCAAAGAAATACTAGCCAGAGGTGTATTAGTGTGCTCTGCTTAGAGCTCTGCTTAGCATAGGTTCATATGCTTGTTTTTCTTTAAATTCTTTTGCTAGTGGGGAAGAAATCCAGGGTCTTGCGCATGCTCAGCAGGTGCTCTCTACTGGTGAGCTACTTTCCCATCCTGGTAGTTTGTTTTTTTTTTTTAAGTATTTTTATTTTATGTGTATGCGAGTATTGCCTGCATGTAGGTAAGTGCACCTGTGTCATGCCCTTGGAGGACAGAAGAGGCTATTGGAACCCCTGGAACTGGAGTTAGGACAGTTGTTAGCTGCCATGTGGGTGTTGGGATTTAAACCTGGGCCTTCTGCAAGAACAATCGGTGTTCTTAACTGCTGAGCCATCTCTCCAGAGCCCCTGGAGTTCATTTTATAATCAGGAAGAGACTTTCTTACTGTGTCTTCATTGAGCTTGTGACCACTTTCAACTTCCCTTTGGATTGGGTGGAGTTTTGAGGACTTTTTTCCTTTGTTTGAGTAATACAAGAGAGTTTTGTTTGATATGAGGCTGGGCAGTTAGGGTTACCAGGTACATTTAATCATTTAATTTATAATGAGAAGTATATTTTGTTGTTCAACATTCTCTTCTGAAAGAGCTCCATTTTGCTAAAAGTGCAAACATTTTACAACTGTGGGTGCTTAGAATGTGTGTTGATCGAAGTTTGATGGTAAAAAGTGGTGGTGGCATTGTGTGTGCTTGCTGTTGTGCACAAAGAATATAATTTCTGATATTTATTTTCTTGTGTGTCTCACAAATGATTATTTTTCTATTAGGTTGAAATTTATTTCAGAGATTTTTCCAGAGTTTAAAATATATATAGGAGATCTGTGAGTGTTGAACTAAGACAATGAAGAGAAAATATAACTTCAGATTTTATAAGAAATGTTTCTTTAAAAATCTGGTTTTGGCCCGGGCATGGTGGCACACACCTTTAATCCCACCCAGCACTTGGGAGGCAGAGGCAGGCGGATCTTTGTGAGTTCAAGGCCAGCCTGGTCTACATAGTGAGTTCCAGGACAGCTGGGTCTACAAGGAGACCCTGTCTCAAAAAAAAAAAAAAAAAAAAAAATTTGCTGGTTTTATCTGGTGCTTACGTGACTAGAAGTTGGTTTAGTGAAACTTGTGATATTGTTAATGTTCAGTGCAAAAATGCTATTGTTACTTTCTAGGAAATGTTCTTTTAGTTTCTCCTAAGCATACAAATTACACACATTTAAAAGCTTTCAGGAACAAAAGGTCTCACTGTGTTCATGCTTTTCACAGCTGGAGAGGCAGTTGCATGAAGACGAAGAGTTTGCCAGAACATTAGCCATGTTGGATGAAGAACCAAAGACCAAAAAAGTGAGATTATTGTGTTGGGTTGGGTTTGTTTTCCTAGTTCTGGAGATAAAGCCATAAAAACTCTTCCAGAAAGAAGCTAAATTATTTTATTATTTAGTTTGTGTGTCAGTGTCCCCATCTGTGTATTTGCATCTGTGTGTCCTCTTGTGTGTGTATAGGCCAGAGGGTGTCTTTTCTTTATTGTTTTCTATCTTAGTGGAACCTGGAGCTCAGCATTTCTTCTAGATCGACTGACCAGTGAGCCTCTAGGACCGTCCTGTCTCTGCCCACCCCAGTGTTGGGGTTACAGGCATGCACTGCCACATCTGGCTTTTGCCTTGGTGCTGGGTCTCTAAACTCAGGTCCTTATACTTGCATAGTAGACATTTTATCCACTGAGCCATCCCCTAGCTAAATTGTTTTAATTTATATTTTTATTTAACTTAGAAATTTTGTTTTTGTTGTTTGAGACAGGGTCTCACTACGTAACCCTGGCTGGCCCCGAACTTGCTATATAAATCAGGCAGACCTCAAATTCACAAGAAATCCTGCCTTTGCCTTCTCAGTGCTGGGACTATAGGCATGTGCTGCCACACCTAGCTAAAAACATTTTTTTTTTTTTTAAAAAAAGAAACTCATTAAAAATTTCATTCTTTCTAAAAGGTTTTAAGAAACAAAACAAAGCTGGACATGGTGGCAGAGTCGGGTAGGAGGCAGAGGCAGGTTAACCTCTGTGAGATCGAGGCCAGCTTGGTGTACAGAGGTAGTTCCAGGACCGCTGTCTCAAACAAACAAACAAACAAACAAACAAACAAACAAACAAACGACAAATCTGCCTCTGTGCACCACCACACTGGGCAAGATTCTACACCCTACCCCCACCCCCCAGCATGTCAGACAAACTGGCTTAGAGAAAGTGAGATCAACATGGTTGATCTGACAGGAAAAAAGATTCTACTTCTTTAAAGATACTTCTTAGGTATTATAAATGGCCAAGCCTAAGCAAGAAGGTATGAGACAGTAAGGTTGATGGGGACCTTGTCATTTGAAAAGCCTTATTCCATGTGAACACATTCTTAAAATTATTAAATACTATGGCCCACACCACATTTTGTGGCCTCTTCATAAAATGGAATTTGAGGGAGTAGTGGAGAGGTTGGAATTTTTTTTTCCTCTTGAGAATGCGCTCTTTTGTTTTTTGGTTTTATGTTTTTGAGACAGTCTTTGCTATGATGCCCAGAATGGCCTGATAGTATATAGCCTGGATTGGCTTTGCATTCGTAGCAATCCTCCTGGTTAGCCTTCAGCCTGCTGAGTGCTGAGGATAGAGTGTGAGTCACCACTCTGAGCTACCCTTATTTTTCTTTTAGGTTTTAGTTTGTTTTCATTTTTGGTTTAGATTTTAGTTTTCAATTGCATAATACTCATAGTTTGAGAGTTGACATAAAAGAAGCAGAAATAAGACTTCCATTTCCAGTTTAGTAGGTTGGGATGAAATGAGATGGGTTTTTTTTTGATGTATTTTTGTAATCTTCCATCTGTTTGCTTATCAGTAAAATGAATTAATAAATATACTTTGAACTAGGTGTGGTGGTACGCTCCCTTAACCTCAGTATTCAGGAGGCAGAGGTAGGTGGATCTCTGTAAGTTTGAGGCCAGTCTGGTCTACATAGTGAGTTCCAGACTAGTAAAACCCTGTCTCAAAAAAAATCTGCATTTTTTTTTTACCCCCTGTGGTAATTTTGTGGATGAATCAATGACAGTTTATTGTAGTGTCTTGGTAGTTTGGAAGGCAATCCTTAAACTTAAAATTTTACTAACAGATCTTGTGATGATAGTTTTCCTGTTACTTACTATATCTGACACTTTATAAATTTGTTTAGGTCCGAAAAGACACCGAAGAGGGAGAAACGTTTTCATCTGTCCCAGCTGATTTAAGTAAAGCAGAAAAATATAAAAGCCCCAATAAAGGTAATGCTAGCAGAAGAACATAAGATGAAGCCCTTAGCTGTCTTTATAGAAGAGAATACTTGATAACTCAAACATTTTATTCTATAATTGTCTGGTAGACATTATTTCAGAGCACTATTAGAGCTTGTTTTACCTAGGTGAAGATGCGCCTAGACTTACGATGTCATTATATCTAAAAAATTTGTTGTAAATTGAAAAATGTCCTAAGTGAAAGCTGCATTTATGTACCAGTCTTTTGGATATCACAGCTCAGCAGCACAGCACACCATAGAGAATCTCACAGCTGTTGCCCAGCATCTTGAGAAGGTACTGAGTCTATGAAAGTGGGACCAATAGCTAGGGAGAGCTGATTTGCAGTCTTAATCCTGTAAGATTAAACCTCAAAACCAGCTGTTTCTCTGCTATTCAGAGAAACATGTTACTTTTGTACCATTATGAAGTTAAAATTGTAAATTGAACCACTGTGAGTCAAGGACCATCTGCCCTTTGAAAGCTCTTTGGATGCTGCTTGGTAGAGAATGCCTATTTGCATTGACTGTTGTAAGAAGTGTGTTAAGGGACTGGAGAAATGACTCAGTGGTTAAGAGCACTGGCTTCTCTTACAGAAGACCTGGGTTTGAATCCCAGCACCCACATAGTAGCTAATAACTGTCTGTAATTCCAGTTTCAGGGAATCTGATGCTCTCTTCTGATCTGCAGGTGTTGAGTGACATGGGTGCACTTATATACATTTAGGACTAACACTCTTACATATCAAATAAAAACAAATAAATTTAAAAAGTTAAAAAAGAAGTGAGATGGTACTCTTGACTTGCTGTTAATTTCTAGATATATTGCATTGTGTGGATTTCAGTTTATGAAGACAAATGCCTCGAGTCTTTCATTTTAGAGATGGTGCCACAGAGTTGACTTCTAGCTGTCCTGATCATCTGGAACTCTTCTCTTGTCTTGGGCAGCTTGTTCTGTAATGGTCCTGATAATGAACCATCTACTAGTAGAGCTCTCCTGTGCTATATCTATTTCTTTTTCCTTTGGAGTACCCTGGATCGAACCTAGAGCCTTGTATATGCCACTGTTGTCTATCATTGAGCTGAATTCCTAGCCTTTTTTTTTTTGAGACAGGATCTCCTGTAACCCCAGCTGGCCTGGAATTCGGTATATAGATCAGGCTGGCCTCTATCTCACAGTGATCTGCCTCACTCTGGAATTAAAGGTGTATACTACTTTGCCTGGCTTTTTAAAGTTTAAAATCCCTCCCCCCCCCCTTTTTTTTCCCCAATAGAGACCCTGACTGGTCTCTGGAACTCATTATGCAGACCAGACTGACCTTAAATTCACAGAGATCCGCCTGTCTCTGCCTCCCAAGTACTGGGATTAAAGGCATATGCCACCTTTATTTTATTTTATTTTATTTTATTTTATTTTATTTATTTTATCTTATCTTATTTTATTTTTTTATTTTTTGGTCTTTTTGAAGCAGGGTCTCCCTGTAAGCCCCAGCTCTCCTGGAATTTACTATGTAGATCAGGCTGGCCTTGAACTCATTGAGATCTGCCTGTCTCTGCCCCCCAAGTGCTGGGACTACAGACGTGTGCCACCATAGCTGGCCCTTTTTATTTTTTAAATTAAGAGAGTCTACTGAGTTAACTAGGCTGGCCTTGAGTTCATTAAGCCAGGCTTTAAACTTACAATTTTCCTGTCTCAGCCTTTTGAATAGCTGAGACTGCAGGCCTGTGGATGTCCAAGTCTATGGACATTCAAGTTCCTTACGCAAAATGGCATATAATTTGCATATAATTTATACCTTTGTATAGCTTGCCTTTCTTATACTAATAATCATTAGATTACTTATAATACTTAATATAAATGCTATGTAAATAGTTGTTCTGAATTATTTAGTGGATAATGATCAGGAAAAACGTACATAGTTTGGACACATGCTAAAAAATGCTTTCTAACTGGGCATGGTGGTGCACACCTTTAATCCCAGCACTCAGGAGGCAGAGGTAGGCAGATCTCCGTGAGTTCAAGGTCTACAAAGCGAGTTCCAGGCCATCTGGGGGATACAGGGGGAGACCCTGTTTCAAAAAGACTAAAAACCAGACCTAAACAAACCAAACAAAAATGCTTTCTATTCATGGATGGCTGAATCCCTAAATGTGGAACCTATAGCTATGGAGGGCTAATAGGTGTTCTTTGTCTTATAAGTACAGCTGTTTATGCAATACCTTTTGGTCTTGACACATTGGGATTTTGAGTTTTCTGGCTGTTTTATAAACATAGAATTTTTATGCTACATACTCCAGTAAGTTTTGTCTCTATAATTTAGGCCATATCTGTGGAATGAAGTCTCTATTTCACTTTTCACACTGCTGGGTATTGAACCTAGGGCCTTGTGCATGGCAGGCAAACAATTTACCACTGTGCTACATCCCCAGCTAAATCCATATCTTTCAGTGTTTATAATATTATATTAAGAAATGAGGAGTTTATATTTGAAATGAAAGCTCTCTTAATTTGAACTCATTACAGAGAAATATTATGTGAAATTTAAGTTTAAAAAGTAAATATGTTGTATAAGCTAAGGAACTACAGTGTTACTGTTTTAAAATCACTGTATATTACCATGTATTGCTTAGGTCATATCACTGAAGAAAAAAGATGTTGATGCTGAGTATCATTTTCTCCAAATAGCAATCAAAATCTTTTCTTCCTTGTAAAAACAGAACAGTTTTTAAATGAAAGAAAGATCTATAGTCCTAATAAGCAAACTAAGTGTGGAAGCTCAAAAGAATCTCAGCAGCATTCCAGATCTTCAGCTCATCAAGTACAAGTGTGTTCTTCTCCAAAGGCCAGTTCCAAGCTGGCACTTATGAAAGCGAAAGAAGAGAGGTCTAACAAAGAAACTGAGCCAGTGGCCTCGAAAAGAAAAGAAAGTGCCATTGAACCGAAGGAGAAAAAAACTCCTAAGAAAACCAAAAGTTCTCCAGTTAAAAAAGAGGTAGGAGGCTTATGGAAAGTATGTGTATTAGGAAAATATGTTGATAGGAGTTTGTTTTCAATTTTTATTTTCAACTTCCTACTTTATGATGGGTTTGTAAGGTATCATTTGAGGGCTGTGGGTATAGCTCAGTGGTAGAGTTTGCTCAGTATTCTTGAATTCCTGGGTTTGATTCCTAGAAGACATTATCTCGCTTAAAATTGTCAAAGAATATACATTATTAAAATAGTGAAATGAACCAAAGTTTGTTGCTATTGTGTCTGTTATACTCCTATATTTCATCACATAATCTTCACAATAATCTTTGAGACATTTACTTTTATTTTTTAAGTTGTAAAGAAGAAATAGGCTGAAAGACTTTGAATTTTCGAAGATTAGCCAGGTAGTAAGTAGCAGAGCTAATCTTGAACTCATTCTCTGAACACAAATGTAACAAGAGTATCCTGGAGGCTCCAAGCCGTCTGGAGCCAACATCAAGTCATAACTGCTACTGAGCAGATGTGTGATGCTGGTCTAGTTACTTGTTGATGCCTAGGTTTCTCCAGTTGTAGAGAGGGATAGGAATAGGTAAGAATAAGATTAGTCTATAAAACCACTTAGAGCTGGGCGTGGTGGCACATGCCTTTAATCCCAGCACTCAGGAGGCAGAGGCAGGTGGATCTCTGTGAATTCAAGGCTAGTCTCTCTACATAATGAGTTCCAGGTCAGGTGGGGCTACAGGGAGACCCTGTCTCTAAAAGACAAAAAACAACCAACCAACCAAACAACCCCCCCCAATAAAAAAAAACCCTGCTTATAGAGCAGTACCTGGGACGTAATATATATTATATATGTTTTAGGTATTATTATTACAGTAATTGTTATTTTGATTTGTTCTGAACTTATTCCTTTTCTTCTATAATAATGCTAAGATAAAGAAATAATTTTGCAGAAGAAAAAATGGTGAAACAACGTTTTTCAAAAGTGCCCTGTCCCCCAAACTGGTGGCATAGGCCTATAATCGCAGGCACTTGAGAGATGGAGGCAGGAGAATCACAAAGTCAGAATCTACTTGGGCTACAGAACGAGCTGGGCAAATTAGTGGGGCCTTGTCTCAAAAGAAGTAATAAAAAGGTCTGGGGAGTTGGGTATGGTGGCACACACCTTTAATCCTAGTGCTTGGAAGGCAGAGGCAGGTGAATCTCTATGAGTTCAAGGCCAGCCTCGTCTGCATAACCTGTTTCAGGCTATTTAGGGTTCCTTGTCTCAGTTTTAAATAGTGTTATAAAAGACTATTAAAAGGCTTGATATGTAGCTCAGTGGTAGAGCATTTGCCAAGTATACATCGGGTCTTAGGTCTAATCCGCAGCACCTCAAGGGTAGAGTTTTCTTTGTTTTCAGATATTTTATAAAGTAATGATCTTTTTTTGAACCTCCAGTTTGGAAGCACTTTAGATTCATAATAAGAAACCACCATTCCTACATGCCTCTTAGGCACTCAGATAAAAGGCAGAATAGTGCCTCTTTTAACTGCTCATTACCATTATTTTTTTGTGCAGAACCATGAAATGTAATGATTTTGAAATGCTTTTGTTTGTGAGCAGTGCTCATAAATATGCTTAGAGGAACAATTAACTTTTTGGTCCAAGATTTTTCTTCACTAAATACTGGTAGATGAATATTTTTCTTTAGGCACACTAAGTGAGTTTTGGAGTTTACAAAGGATGTCTATTTTTGGGAAATGAGGAAATAAAAGTTTAGAAAGTGATACTGTTATTTTTCAAAGTTGGAATAGAAATAATTCAGAACTTGTATTTAAGTGGTTTTGGGAACATCAAAGATTCATAAATTCAGTTGATCTTGGTCAGATAATTCTCACTAATAAATAAGTGTACTTCCAAGTTAAAGCCAGGTGTAATATGCACCTGTAATCTAGCACTTGGGAAACTGAGGCAGGCAGATTGAGAGTACAAGGCCAGCTTTTTCTACATAGTGAGACCCTGTCTCAAAACAGACAGGTCTGTTCAGCCGTCCAGAATTGTTTTGTAGGTTGTTTATATTTCAGAATTGAAAAAAATAGTATTGTAACAAATGAATCGCATTCCCATATTGGTATATATTGGACTGTCTTGTGAAGCTCGTTTAGAAAATGGCTTCCCAGAGCATATGGTCTAGGCAGTTATATTTGGATAATCCCATTTGAATGCTTATTTGAAGATATGAAAACCTTTGCCAAGAAGTAGAGTTGGATTCTAGGATCAGCTTCAATAACTTATTTAACTCATAACAAAAGCAGCTTAACTATTTTATTGGTTGTATCATTTGTGCAAAGTAATATTTTGTCTACTTTCAGAGATGTGGGGAGGGTGGGTGGTAAGTGTGGTAGTGCAAGCTTTAATCCCAGCACCCAGAAGGCAGAGGCAGGATGATCTTTTGTGAGGGCAGCCTGGTCTACAACCAGTTCCAGGCCAGCAGGGGATACAGAGAGACCTGTCTCAAAAACAAACAAACAAACAAACAAAAAAACCACAAAGAGACTTGGGGTTGCTCATAAGTTAAAACCAATATAACTAGAAATTATAAAAATCAAGAGACACCGTGTTATAATAGTTCTTAAATCAGAATTATCTAAGGCACCCCCCCCAATACACATGTCCTAGCCACATCCCATGTCTCTG